ACATATGGATTTCAGCTCAGATTTTTTAACATTAACATTACTTAATCATCCATAGTTTTTTTTTTTTTTAATCCATGTTCTCTGTAAAATTAAAAAATGCTCAAGTTGGATTAATCATTCAAAAAATTAATGCTCTGTTTTTTTCCAGATCCATACAAACACGGCATATTATTTTTTCTGCTTTTATGTCTATTTTATCTATGTTATTTGTACCACTTAATAATGACATGTTGTCTGTTGTCTCTGCCACATGTCTAGGGGACATCAGACATATCAGAAATCTTATCTGATAGAAAGAGGAATTCCAGGTTGCATGGTAAAAGCATGCAGTAGTTAGTCAGAAATCACGCTACCTACTTTTTAATTACAACTCCTCCACCTACCAGTTGCATATCATGGAATGACTTAACTCCAGACTTAAAAGGCATCATTAGCTCTGATACACAAGGCTGAGTGAGTGTAAATGCTGGAAGCTGTTCAAGCCGGGTGTGATTGACATCCTACTGCTGTAAACCAAAGCAGAGCAGCTAAGGTTCTCAAGGGAACATCTTGGTAAGCACCACTGCTCACTGGAGTGCCTGAGAAAGGACCAGAGGGGAGGCAAGAGAGGTCAGGTCTAGTCCATAACTGGGCCAGACAGAGCAACTGGATCTCTGGAACACCAAAGGTGGTCAGTGCAGGAGCAAGAAGAAATCACAGAGCAGTGTTCACTCTGGAGAATGCAGCTGGGCAGGGGGAACTGGATGCTGTACTTTGAGCGTTTGTCTTCTCCATGAAAGAAAGATCTCAAAAAGGTTGGGAATGGTTGTGCTATGATTCTTCCTTGAAAGGAATACAAGGAAATGGATTCATTTTCTCTCATAGTGTGGGAGTGATCCTCTGCATCCTTTGCCTCTGCATGAGCACAGTGTGCTGGTGCTGAGATAGACTTGTTTAGTCTATCTGAAGAGAAGGGCTTCCACACTTCTATAGAAACGATGGAAGATGTTGTCAAGAATGGGATCAAGGATGTTTTCCCTCAGTAAAAAGAAGAAAGTAATACTTAAGATCTCTTTATTTTCCATGAAGGTCAATCAAAATTACTGAGGAAAAGGATGATATCTACAATGCGTTTTTGCTAAACTGCTGAAAGGAAAACTTGGCCTAAGTATTGATTTATATAGTTGTGAGGATATCCATTTTTTACTATTCACTAAATATATTGTAACATGGTTGCATCCCTGGACCAATAGATCAGTCTTAGTTAATGAAAAAGAGAGTGCACAGATTCTTTTCTTTTTATGTGACATATATCATAAAACAAGATTAAATAGTTAAAATGATCTAGTCCTTTCCAATTGAAAGACAAATGTAATTCTTCACTAGAATTACATGTACAGGATATATGTGCCACTCTATGTGTGCAAGTCTGTGTTATGCAGAATATCAAACCACTAAACTCTTGAGGTTTAACTCAATAAAACTACAAATATATTGAGTCTCAATATGATCTTTCCTTAGCTAAGAATGTATTTCTTTGATTTACTTTTCTTTCMTTGTACATCTGTCACCAGGGATGTACAATGTTGTCAGTACACTTGACTTCTGTCTTCTAAGTAAACCCAAGCATTCCTTTTTCAAATAATGAAAGCTGTACACAGACGTAGATGTTCAACTATGGCAATCAACAAACTAAGCACAATAAACCAGCCTTTCAATATTAATGCAGACAGCAAAGCAACATCCAAGGATCAAGTGTTCTCATGGCATGTTTCAGATGAAAGGCTTGGAATATCTTATCTATCAGAGAGTGAGAGACAGTCCTTTGTAGATATCTGATACTTTGACTACAGGGGTAATGTTTGAGCCACCTGCATCTTACTTGTGGGTTTCAAATCTTTGTTGGTCATAGAACAGCAAAGGAATAAGAGCAGCTAGACTTGAAAGGAGAACAGGGAGTCGTCTGCTAGTGACAACATTACAAGGAACTGTCTTAGCTATAATAATTTATCAGAAGAATGGAGAAGTCTCAGCATCCTCCTCTCAACACCACCAGCTGTGTCAGAGCTGACAGTCTTTGCCATTAAGGTCTTTGCAAAACACTGCTTACAGTGAAAGTGCGTGTGGGAGTGGAGAAACAGAGAATAAAAAAGAGTGTACTGCACTGATATAGTCACCTCAACTAAATCTGCTCCAAGGTATTTTCTCATCATGTACTTCAATCACAATCTGGCCCATTCAAAGGAAAAAAGGGATTATAAATTTTAAAGAGGTGACCACGTATTTTCCTCTTGGTTTTTCACAAAGAAGATTGTCCAAAAGTCATAACCCTGTTGTATTTTAGGCCACAAACTACTGTCATTTCTCTTCAGATCTAGAAAAAAACCTGAAGCTTGTGCAGACAGAACTGAAGCTAAATTTTAGAAAATCGTGCAGAATACAGTTGAGGTTTGTTGTATTTAGTATTTTCACACAAAACCATCTGAACATATCAACTATACTCTTGAGMATTACACATTTTAACTTATGTACATGCCTTGATTTAGGCTTTAGTGGGCTTGCATTAATGTTCCTAACAATTCTAATGCCAACAACCATAAAACTGTTAAAAACCTTACTTTTGGCATGTCAAATAGTGGCGTAAACAAATTCTACAAAGTTAAAAAAATCATTTGAAGTGCTATAATGAAGATTGCAGTCTCCTTTGGCACTAAAGATTGCTAAACCAACTTCACCTCCCCCTGTCAGTTTTTCTCACTGGGCCTAATTAATGTATTCCTATAGGAGAGAAACCCATCAGCATTCCACTATGTCCTTGAGTTAGGGTTTGGATTGGGTGCAATAATTGAGATTTGCAGACATTATAGAATTTATAAAGTGTTTTCCTAACTTTTTTGGACAACTTATGCAACAGAATCAAATAAAACAAATGCAATAGAATCCATTGGTTTTGGAATGGAGTGTGTTCACTGTTACTAAGGCCAAAGTTGTCTAAGAAATCAACATTATCTGTTTTGTCCCTTCACAGATGGAATTGCTTATTCATTCTCTAGAAGATCACTTATTAATGTTTTCTAAAATACTTTGTTATTTGCTGCCTAAAAGGATGTTATTGGGAAAAAAAAAAATGGAAAAAAAAGCTCCTTAATACCATTGTTTCCTGAATTCCAAATTCTGCTTCAGGAAAATCCACAAAAGAACACAGACAATAATAGGGCATATGAGGCTTTTCTAAACCAGAATTCTGGAAAGGATTTCATGCTTTTGGAACAATTATATGCTAATCCTAATTCTAATCCCATAAGATCTCCATAAGGCCATAACCTACTTCAGACATGGTTAACCAAGCAGGATCATCTTTTCATCTCGGGAAGGGATTTATAGAATAAAGAAATCAAAAATTTCATATTGTCAAAATTACTTTCTCTTCTTTTATCTGCTTATGTATTTTTCTGCCTGTTTTCSAACTCTTTTGGAGCACCACACAAATGAGTGTTTTTTAAATAAAGTCAAAAGTTAATTGTAACAATGTTTTAGGATCTGAGAAAATGCTCTACAGAGATAAGGAAATATAGGTAATTTTCACTCGTTGAAAATAGGATTCTTTTCTCCCCTTCGAACTTCTAATTAACCTGAAAATTTTTAGTGTCAGAACACTAGATAACAGCAAAAAATATGGATGATGTAATTTATTGTGGCTAGTCTTGCTTCCTGTATTGGTTGTTTCTCCTTGAAGTGACAAAAGTCTTTTACTTCATAAAGGAAAACTTCAGCTTTGCCTGAGTTAAGAATTTCTGTGCTTTAGGCTGTGTTCTAGAATTGTAAACCCTGTAGTTGAACTGATGGTGAGAAAGCTAAAGAAATGTGTTATCATATTTCTATACAATACTTTGATAAGTATCTCACTAAGATCCACTGTTCTGAAGGTTCTGTGAAACAGATTCAGGCCAAAGTAGCAAGCATGCTAAAGAAAAGCAGACTTCTTTTTATTTCTTTGTGATGTGAGGGTGTCTTTTGAACTTTCCTGAATTGGAGACATTCTGTTTTGCAGATATGCTAAGATCAGGACAATGAGACAATCTTGATTGTTCTGAGGAAGGCTTTGAACGCAGTGAGTGGCACCAGTGGGTGTGTGGGGTTGGTATTAGTGTGGATAAGTGAAGCTGGACTTTGTGAGCATGTGAAGATACAGGTTTCGTTCAGTCCTCTCAAAGCCAATGTAAATGAAGAATTATATTCCTGAAGAGGACAATACTCGATCTAGGTTCTCTGTTCAGAGCTATGATCCAGAAGAACTCAATTCCTGATGACTGCAAATAGTCTACATGTTAAAATTTAATTTTGAGCAAAGCTTTTTAACATCCCCAGTGCCAGTGTCTGCCTCAGCTCCCCTGACACTGAGGGGCTAACATACCTCATAAATTCTCTGTGGTCTCAGTGAGATTAAATTTTATAAACAAGCTATCTCTTGCACTCACATGACTCAGCACAACTGCCAAGATCATTCAAATGAAAATAAAAATTTTAAAACCCCAATATTATTTTATGTTTCTCTCATAAATTTTGTTTTGCAGCTTAGTATTTATTGCAGGAAGTGGCAATAATTCAATAATTAGTTTTTGGTTTTTCTTACTGTGTTGGGATTTATACTAAAATAAAAAAGTCCTCAAGCAGTGCCTGACTAAAAGAAGGCTCTGCTCTTCTCTCATTTTGGTGTATTTGGACTATGTCAGAAGGAATATCAAAATTCATGGATTAGAAAGGCAGAGACTGAGTCTGCTGGATTGACCTTTTCTATTTGTCAGGTGCCTGCCAAACCACTCTATCACCCCGCTCCCCAGCAAAAAAGCAGAGGCATTAAAATACAATGGTAAACTCATAGGTCAGGTTAAGAGCAAGGAGAGATTGCTTACCAATTACCGGAGCAGGCTAAACAGACTCTGCTTGAGGAAATTAATTTAATTTATCACAAATCAAATTCAGGGTAGGATAATGAGAAATAAGAACACATATAAATTCACCTCTTTTCTTCTTGGGCTCATCTTTACTCCTGTCTTCTCTTCAGGGTCCTGCCAGGTCAGGGACTCTTCTGCTCCAACACAGTATTTCCTACAGGGTCACAGCTTCCTTCTGTGCATAGTTGCCTTCTCCAATGTGGGGTCCTCCATGGGTTGCAGAGAAACCTCTKCTCTGGCACCTGGAGCATCCTCTCCCCATCCTTTTGTGCTGCTCTTGGTGTCTGCAGAGTTGTTTCCCTCCATGTTGACTCCTCTCCCCATGCTGCTTTGCACAGTGTATTTTTATCCCTTCTTAAATTTGCTGTCGCAAGGCTCTGTGGCCATCTGATGGGCTCAGCTTTGGTCACTGGTGGGTCCCTTTTGGGGCTGATTGGACTGGTGTGTGTCTGTGTCAGACATGAGAACAGCTTCTGGGATCTTGCCATAGAAGCCACCCTTGCAGCCACAGTGATATCAAAACGTTGCAAAATTAATCAAAGACAGTGAAGGAGAATTAAAATAGGTAAAAAAGGCCTCAAATGTCAGGTCAATAAGGAGACAAGGAGGTGGCAGTTGAATTACTTCATGTCTTAAAGCACAAGCATTCAAAATTTGGGTTATTTGCTTTGTTATTTAAACGATGCACAATGATTCTATAAGTGAAATATGGGGTTTAGGGCACAATTTTTTTTTTCATAAAATAATTGGAGTAAATGTAATTAAACAACAGGTTAGTATTAGATTTTAGTTTTTTAGTCTTAAGAAAACCCCCAATATTCTTGTTATGATGAGTCAAAGATTTACTGTCTGGATAAAGAATACAAGATTGATGGAGATGTTAGAAACCATCCAGGAAAAGGGAGAAAAACTAGGATAAATTTTATCTGGAATACTCTATACTTTTATAAATAACCTGAAGTCCTAAGCTACTGGTTTAGGTAGAAGATGCTGGAAGTACTCAAGCATTAAAGATATAACTTTTAAGATTCCCAAAAACAAGTTTATGAACATATGTAGGAGGCTTACACCATGGAAAAGGTGTTTTCCACACTTATATTATGTGATAGCTGAATTTATCAGAGTTAAAGAAGATTGTAAATAACTGAAATATTTTGGCCAAAGCATTGACTATATTCTTTTGGTGTATTTTTTTTTTTTTCCAGGCTGAGATTTTTTGGTTGGTTGGTTGGTTGGTTGGTTGGTTGGTTGGTTGGTTGGTTGGTTGGTGTTTTTGTTTGTTTGGGGACTTTTTTTGATACAAAATGCAATCAGTGACACTGAAGCATGTTTTGAACTTAATTGGCTTCACCACATTACATATTTAGGGAAATTGGAAAATTCAAAATATTTATTTTTATCACTTTTTATGGAAATATTTTTCTTTCTAGACTTTAAGAAAAATAAGTTTTTAAAAATCCTTATAGTTCTATCCTGTAAACTCCTACCAGTTATTTGGACTGCTAAAAACAACCCAAGCTTAATTAATGTTATGGTTTCACCATAGAACAAAGCCTTCTTTCCACTGTTCCAGAACTGCCCCCAGATCAACAGCAGTTATTCCAACTATTCTAACTGTGGTGTGGTAGTTGAAAATGGTCCTGTGCACTTTGATTCAGATCAAAGCATGATCAAAATCAGGTATCATGGGAGGGGGTTGGAATCCATTGTGTGTCATTAAAATATGGATAACTGCTATTTCAGGTTTATTTATGGGGGCAGTCCTTTATTATCTAATGCTTTGTCTGCACTTGCATATTTTATGGACTTACAGGAGAGAAATAATTTGTCTCAAGGCAATTGAGGCTGCAAAACTCAGAGTAGCTATCAGCTCTGAGCTGGAGCTATGCCTTTGCTAACAGAAAAGCAGCAATATAAGTCACTGAGGTGAAGGTTTATTAATTCTTCCCTGCCTTCACTGGGTTTACACGGTAAAGATAAGGTCTCTAAATTTAGAGCTTAGTGAGATAAGAGTAAGTGATACCTTATAGACTGATAGGTGTATGACTTTTGGTACATGCTACAAATTACTGCTTGAGCTAAGGACTAGTCAGCTATTAACCTGCTGCTGGTTATAACAGGCTCCAGATTGATTGCTGACAAGATTTCGCTGTTTGGAGGGAAAGAAAGTGGGAGACTCCCCTTCTTTTCTAGTTCTGAAGAACCACAAGGACACAAAACAAATCCTACAGCTATGCTAAAAAAAGCTGTAACTTGCCTGTAGTACAGACTTCAAGTATATTTTGCTGGGGGTTATGAACATTTGTAATCACTAATTAACTTAGCTATGAAGATAAAAACTGTTTTGTCAACACAAAGAGTTTCACTGAGGAGTGGGGAAAACTCTGGGTGGGTCATAACATGCAGCTCTCAAAAAGGTTTCTGCTGGTGTGGGATGAAGTTCTGCTTGTCTGTGCTGGAAAAATGCTTGCAGTATAGACATCTGATAAATCAYGCATGAAAGAAAATGATAAGAGGGAATGTTTGTGTGCACACACTACAGAGCTGTGCATGTTGCAGTGCAGAGCTGTGAATGCTGCATTTCAAGTTAATGTTTATATATTTTGGATGAGTAACAAAGTGAAAGGGTTTATGGAGAGAGGATAAAAAAATATTGACATAGCTTCTACTTAGAGGTAATTCATGGTATTACAAAATTATATGCTTCTTTGAATATTTATGATGTTTCACATGGACARTGAAATATCCTTCTGACTTAGAAAATGCTAGGTACCCTCTCTTTACAAAGTGTGAGAATTATGTAAGCTTTGCAGTTGTTAACACTCAAGTTTTACACTGTGTAACAGTTTCAAAGAGAGAAAGTAGTTAAACTGAGTTTCTAGAGAAAGGGTAGGGTTATATCAGAATGAAGCATACTTTTTCATCCACTTAAACTATATTTACAGAGTTTCAAACTAGATAGGCAACAAGCAAAAGGGCTAATACTTCCATAGTGGGTGTGGGGTTGTGAGAAGGTAAGTTGAAACAATTTATGGGYTGAGACTGTGACAGTAGATGCAACTTGCATCACTTTGTTCTCCTTTAAACTTATTCATGCACCAGGTCTGAGCCTTGGACCAAAGACTAATTTGCCAGGTAAAATGTGTTCTGAAGACTTTTATCCCAATGCTAGCATCAATAATTTTGCTTTTGTTGTTTCTTTTCTGATTTGTACATTTGTAGGCTGTTATGTATAAACTTGCTTGCCTCTTATGTTATTCAAGTTCTTAATATGGCCTAAATATATAGAAGAAATATGAGAACATAATGTTACTTACTGGAAAGAGCACTGATGTTCTTATTTATATCACTGCATGGGAAGAAAAAGTTCAGTTAAAGTAATRCATACTCAACAGTATGACATTTCAGTGACCCCAAATTATACACAACAAAGTTTATGGGTGAATCTGTAAGAAAAATGTGGGGTGGAGGGCGGAGATGTTAGTTTATAATCTGCCATAAAACATTACAGTATAATGAAGGAAGAGGGTAAATGTGAATATTTAACTCTTCCTTTGTAACTACACTGATTATAGAGCTATTTACATAGTTACACATCCTGTTTTCTATGTCTAGAAATAGGTTAGTGATGAGTGATCTGTTAGAAAAAAGATAAAACGTTTTTCTAATAATTTTATCTGAAACAGCTGATCAGAAATGCTTTTGGATTTGGTTTCATTTGAGATGTGCTGATCCCATTGGCTTACAGGAAAGATTTACTAGAGGATTCAGTTTCCTCTCTGGTGTGTGTTTCAAGCTTTATGAATTAAGTTGTTAGGGAATGGCAAATTGACTAAGGGAAATGAAAAAAGCAGTTATAGGATTGATGTGCTGCAGATAATTGCACTTTTCTCATTGTCTATTAAGATATTTAATTACATACATGAAAGAATGACAAGATTTCCCACCCATTTTTTTTAACTTCTGCTAGGACATGAAATTCAATTGTACCTTTTATGAAGCAATCGACAGGTAACCACTGAAGTGAACACTTAAGAATAGCTGTAGCATGGACTCTGAACCAGKGCCTTGTAAAACAAATTACAGTTTCTACATTCTGTGGACCTTGGATTAGGTTTAAATGTACTGCAGGTCTGAGAAATGTCATACAAACTGTTTTCAAAAAGCCTTCATGAAGCTGTAATTCATTTTCTTGGCTTCCAAGTTCTACTTCTGTCATGCAATTGAGTGCTGCTATATCCTGTGACAGCACAGCTTCTTGTCACAGTTTCAGGGACATGCACAAGAGGACACAAGGGGTTGCCCTACACTGCTGTCACCTTGTTTTGGGATAGTGACAGCTCACATTTTATTATTACAGGCTTTCTGGAATTTATTAGTATAGATTGCCTATACCAATATATTTTGGACTGGATCAAGCCTTAAAGGAACCAAGGAAGTCACTTTATCTGTCACTTCATTCACTTTATTTTAAAGATAATAAATACATCTCTTGTCAATTTGTTTATAGAATTTAATTCCTTATAAAGGGAAGACATTAAACTAGTGGTATTACAATCAAAATAGAAATTATTAATGACTCATCTCTAATCAGCTTCAGATTTTGATTCATATATTAAAATCTATTTCTAYGTCATACCAATGATGGATTTGAAATAGCATACCTATTGTGTATTTTCCTTCCTCTATGGTAATATCGGAAAAATGGCACTATATGAATTGCTTTAATTGAATCTGTGTAAAAATATAYGTGTTAAATAAAAAGACCAGACAGGATCCTTCGAATAGTGGGGATGAACATTATTGGCCCGACATCTCTCTTTTCAATACAAACTCCTTCAGCAGAGTCCAGGAGAAGAGATTGGGGGAAACTCCAGCCTCAGCCACATTTACTCCTGATGCAGGGTCCACATCAGCCACTGTCCTCTGGATGATCTCACACCTTCCCAGGGCCTCTTCTCTGGCTCCACGGCAGGAGGCTGCCCTGGGAGGCCTCCAACTCCCCATCACCAGCTCTGCTGTCTCCACATCTCTGGAATGAGGTGATTCTCTTCTGGCTACTCATCCCTAATAGCTTTACCAGAAGCGAAACAAAAGGGAAAGTAMCTGAGATTTCTGAGCAAACAGTACTACTTACTTTAACAGACTTCTATAAATATTTTATTATATCTGGGTTCTCTATTATGTTGTGAACCCTGGGAAGAAAGTTCCTACAGAAGTGAGCTTATTAGGAGCAAGAGCTACACCTCCCTAAACTGAAGACATAAAAAGCATAATATTTTTTCTGCYGCTCTCATTTCTGACTCATAAAGAAAC